GGTGTATTTACTTCTTCATACTTCAGAACCAAATACAAAGAGAGTGTTCAACTACTGAAACTACTTTACCTTCCACAAATAATTTTCTTTCACAAGCCCTGTGTGTTCCGCTGGCATCACAATTTCTTCATTCCTGTGAACAGAGAGGAGCCAACCATGTAACCTTGCAGTAGACTTTTCGTTTTAGTAAGAGTTTTACGGCACTTGCAACATCATAAGGTCATATAAATGCCAAAGATTAGAAGTGTTACAAGAGAGTAACAAACGCGAAAAAGGAGAGGAGATAGAGACGATAGATTTTTTATAGGAAAGAAGGAGCAAACCACACCAGAGCACCCACCAACCACCCACTGCAGTAGACTATCTTAAAAGACATCAAGATTTACGTAACACTTTCAAGTGTATGTTTTGCTCCATTCATTTGCCACGTACATTGGTACATAGAATTGACAAATTAGTTAGGGCAGTGAACCGGCACATCAGACAAAAACGCAATCACTTTGACAGACAAAACACTGTAAGGAAACTTAGGACTGTAGAACAGAGACTGTCTCTAAATCAAAAAAATTTTTTTAAAATCTTCTGGGTATGATTTCTCTCTCTGAGGTTTTATCAGAATAACAACCTAAACCAAAACCACTTTAAAAATTTTGTTTTTTTATAGTAGATAGAGGGTTTTACGGCGCTCACAACTGCATAAGGTCATATGAGCGCCAAGGGGTGAGTGTCAACAGAGAAGTCTTTACAGGGAATCAGACTTAGACTGCTCACCTCTCTAGCTTCAACAGCACAAGGTCTGCTTCGACTCTCAAGGCACCCCAAAATAGCAGGTCACAAGAGAGTGACAAACATACAAAAGAAGTAGAGGAAATTGGCAATAGTAAGGATCAGTAAAGAAAAAGCAGCAGTTCCCTTGAAATCAGCAACACAACAAGGTTTACAAAAAGTGATGTGTACTTCACAAAAGCAAACAATGTAGAAAAAGTGTTCCCGAAAACCTAGCAGAGCATGACTGGACAAAACAACATCGCTAGATCTAACCTTATAGCTTGGAAAATTTCTTGCAGCATGTCCTGATCAAAATCTTGACCTCCGTTCACCCCTTTGACGTTTCTCTTGAAATCCTGGAAAAAATTGTTTTGACAAAAATAATTTGTTATAAGCTGTCACAACATCATTTGTTTTTTTACATGTCTCATTCACAACAAAATGAGAGTTATTATATAACAGATAACAATAGGAACTTTACAGAACTCATCAGTGCAGTTCTTCTCAAAAGCAGGTCGGGAACATTATCAATTACTAAAAATTAATAAGAAAGAAATTACACACACACAAACACACACACACACACACAAACACACACACACACACACACACACACACACAAACACACTTTTCTGAAAATCAATTTTCACTTACGTAGACAGGTGTGGAGTCTGACATTGACAATATCTTTTTTAGTTTTAGTTTTAGTCTTAGTAAGAGTTTTACGGCACTTGCAATACAATAAAGTCATATAAGTACCGAAGATTAGAGGTGTTACAAGAAAGTAACAAACACAAAAAAAGGAGGAGAGATCAGGACAATAGATGTTTGATAGGAAAGAAGGAGCAAACGCACCCGCCAACCACCCACTGACAATATCTGAAGCCAAACTTATCAAAGTGTGACGACTTACGTCTGGGTTCATTGGAATATTTTGTTTCTTGGCTTATCTAAGTGCGATCTCTGGCGCTGACCAGATGACAAGGATATGTGGTTACTTGAGGGAGGTATTGCGCTGCCAAGAGCGAAATGCTCGCAGCTAAAGGGATTAGAAAACAACAACATCAACATCTAAGTGTGACTTAGTCTGGGTTCATTGGAATATTTTGTTTCTGGGCTTATGTAAGTAAGACTTACGCCTGGGTTCATTGGAATATTTTGTTTCTGGGCTTATGTAAGTAAGACTTACGCCTGGGTTCATTGGAACATTTTGTTTCTTGGCTTATCTAAGTGTGACTTACGCCTGAGTTCATTGGAATATTTTGTTTCTGGGCTTATGTAAGTAAGACTTACGCCTGGGTTCATTGGAATATTTTGTTTCTGGGCTTATGTAAGTAAGACTTACGCCTGGGTT